ACGTACAAGGATTATTACAATATTTCCATTCTTTATTTACAAATTTGTAATTGTCTATTTGCATTTTATGCTTGTGTAATTAAAATTGTACTGAACTGTGTATAGTAGAGTGAATGAAGCATGGATGCACTTTGCAATCGATAACAGCTTGATTTTCGTTACTGCCTGTCTAGTAGTATGTGTGTATATTTCTATTTTTTCTTCTTTTGTTCGGTCATTCTTCCATCGATATCCTCTCTTGCACCACTCTCGAATCCTCGCGTTCTATTTTCCTTTCAGGTAATTAGTTTCAGACGTGGAAGTGGTCCGTTCAACGTCGGCCACGTGATTGATACCCATTGAACATGTCTTCTTTTAATCCTGACTTCTCCTCCTCCTCCTCTTCATCTACCACCGCCTCTACCATCTACCAACGCCTCCTCCACATTCAACTCACGGTTTACAAATTACATTTCGAGCTGAGGAATCCGAAGAATGTTCGCATCAAAGACCTGCTTAATAATTCCCCGCCCGGAAGTGTCAATAAGTTAAGGAAACATGTGCCGTCGTTCCATCCACCACCCTTGATGAAATATGTGTGTGTGTGTTTGAGAAGAAGCTTCGTCTTTTGAATTTTTAAGAGAGCAATCAGTCTTGCTTTAGCTCAAGCCAAAGCGAATTTTCTTTCGCCAGTTTTTGTTTTTTTTTTGTTCTGTTTTCATAACATTTTTCTTCACTCGTTCGGTCTGCAAAACGCTTCGGTCTAGACCAGAGAAGACGTTTTTATTAAACTCTTCTGAATGCGATTTCTGTTTTTTTTATTTCAAGAAACGATTTATAATCGTCGTAGTAGACTGTTATTACTTTAACCAAATAATCACAAAGGAATGCTGCTTTTTTTTAGTTACAACTCAATTTCTGCGATTCTTTTTTTTAACTTTTCTTATGTATTTTACAAAAAAAAATTGCTATTTAAATTTAGATATAATTAATCAACAATACTTATTAACCCTTTTCAGCCCAGTGATTCCAATTGGAATAATTGATTTTTAAATGCAATTTTGTGTTTCGATTTTTAACATTAGGTAATATTGAATAATGAAAAGAAAATCAGGTTCGATGTTTTTTTATGATTAAGTAAGTGCTTTTAAAAAGATTTTAATAAATCAAGAAAAAAAAATTGAAAATAAATGTGGGCTGGAAAGGGTTAAGAATGTATCACAAGTACACAAATTGTAATTTGTCTTGATAATTTTAGTAATTGTTAACTTTGTAAGTGATTTATTTTATAATATTTTAACTGAAGACTGAAAAAAGCACATGGTTACAATATATTAGTGGGAAATTCATACAATTTTTATTTTAATAAATTGCATAAAATTCATTATCCACAAATAAATTGGTGTTTTCAATGATTCAATAGTTAAAAATTTGGATGTAATTTCATTAAAAAAAAACAATTTCCATGAAGTTTCTTAAGAATTTACTATTATAAAAGTAGAAAAAAATGATTATTAGATGATTATAAACGTTTTTAGTATCTTTCAAAGATTATTGATGAATTTTGTAAGCAAAATAGTTAAATACATGTACCAATAGAAGCAAATCTATATAATTTTAATTATTATTTATCTTATTTCAATATAAATTATGCTATGGAAATAATTTTATGGAATAGAAAGCAACTAATGCACATTGAACCTAGATGCATTTTTAACAGTAGGTAATATTGAATAATGAAAAAATACAGGTACGATGTTTTTTTTTATGATTAAGTAAGTGCTTTTATAAAGATTTGAATAAATCAAGAAAAAAAAATTGAAAATATATTTGGGCTGGAAAGGGTTAAGAATTTATCACAAATTGTAATTTGTCTTGATGATTTTAGTAATTGTTAACTTTTGTAAATGATTTACTTTATAATATTTTAACTGAAGACAAAAAAAAAGCATATGGTTACAATGTATTTTAGTGGGAAATTCATACAATTTTTATTTTAATAAATTACTTAAAATTCATTATCCTCAAATAAATTGGTGATTTAATGATTATGTTAAATGATTTCAATGTTAAATTAACATCGTAATTGATACAATTGTTTAAAATGTAGATGTAATTTCATTAAAAAATACAATTTTCATAAAGTTTCTTAAGAATTTACTATTATAAAAGTAGAAAAAAGTGATTATTAGATGATTTAGAAAATTATAAACGTTTTTACTATCTTTAGTTAAGTTAAAAACTGGTCTACATCGCAAGCCCGACAACCGAAATCCCGATTGTATCCAAAAATTTTACAATAACATTTTTAAATTATTTCAGAGCGTAGTCACCTTGTGCTACACTTTTATTATTAATAACAATAAATTATTATTAATTTATTTGATTTTGTTGAATTATTCATAATAAACCTTAACATTATGAAATAATCTCAAATACAATTAGATTATTAATTGTTATTATTTATTATTAATAACAATTTAAAAGTCACTACGTTCCGGAATAATTTAGAAATATTATTGTAGAAATTTTCGATATAGTCGGGATTTTGATACAGTCGGGATTATGGTTGTCGAGATTTCGATATAGTCGGGATTTTGATAGAGTCGGGATTCTGATATAGTCGGGATTTCGAACGTCGTGGTTGCAATTGGCTCCAGTTAAAAAACATGTACCAATGGCAATTACTTCTACATAATTTCAATTATTATTATCTTATTTAAACACTAATTATACTATAAAAATGTTCTATGTAATAATTAAACAGCAATCTATGATTTTTTTTAATGTGGTTCTTGTAAACTGTCTACAGAGGACTCTTTACTATCTAAACAGGAATCTGTATCGGGGGAAAACTAATAAATAAATACATATAACAACTATGTACTATATTATATAATACGCAGTTTAAATATTGTTAAATTTGGTGTTTGATTGTAATATTTTGATTGTCTGCGCCATCTAGCGGAGCGTCGATGAATTCATCCGGATGTCATGCAGAGTCTTCTAACCTAAATTTTAATCTATTAACGCTAATTAGATGAATCTAGGTATAATCCACATGCAACAAATGGAAATCCTGAGAACAATATGCTTCATCCTGTATAGATCCATGTGCATAGAGTGTCAATCTGACGTCTCCTGACGTACACACATAGCAACCATTACGTCAGAATTATAAGAGTGTGTGTGTATCTGTAATATTTAGTAACAAAAATACAAGAGGTGAAAAGATGGTGGCCGTTGTTTTCTTATTCCGCCAAAAGTAAAAACATTGAACTCGTTGTTTCCAATTGAATCGGCGCTATCAGTTTTCCGAGTGTTTACAAAGGACGTAAATGTAAGTGACGTCACCGATTAGCAATTTCCAGTTTTTTTTCTTCTTCCTCTCTTTTGGTATGTGTGTGCGGGAATCGTGTGCTGATGTATATATATATATACTTATATACAAACACGAACGTAATGATGTGTGTATGCTCGGTTTTCAAGGTTACGAATCTAAAGTAGTGGCCCCCCCGTTTTTATTGATTGCTATTTAAACATTTAAAACAAAAAAAAAAACCGAACGGCAACAGAAGAGGAAGATTGGAAGAATTCCGCGCGGTTTCTTCCTCTCCACCGCATCTGTACCGACGGTAGCGGGGACTCGCATTACGTAATCGCATTTGTTTGGTGTTGCTGTCTTGTTTTTGCAGTTGTTTTCCCCCCTGTGGTCATGTCGATGCAACAGTACTGTCTCAGATGGAACAATCACCAGCCGAACTTCATTTCAGTGTTCTCCAGCCTCCTCAACAATGAGTCTCTTGTTGATGTCACACTGTCTGCGGAGGGAAGACACCTGCAAGCACACAAGTTGGTTCTTTCGGCTTGCAGCTCTTACTTCCAAGTGAGTTTTAAGAAAAACAAACACATTTGTGATTTTGCTCATTGTTTTGTTATTATCCTTTTCATAGTCACTGTTTACAATCAACCCATGTCAGCACCCTATTGTCATACTTAAGGATGTCAAGTTCATGGACTTGAAGGTGATCATCGATTTCATGTATTACGGGGAAGTGAATGTGTCTCAGGATCAGCTGCCGCACATTTTGAAAACAGCTGAAATGTTGAAAATTAAAGGTAACTATTTGAAAATTCAATGCTGTTGATGTATTCATGCTTGTTTCTTTTAGGGCTTGCTGAAATCCCAGTAGAACCTTCGGTGAAAAGCCAGAACAATTTATCAGAGAAAGCAGAGCTCCTCACACCCAACGATCCAAACTGGAACAGTACAGATAATCAACATAGGCAATCTCTATCACCATCACCGTGTCCCTTATCACCAGGAAGTAAAAGGTAATTAATTAAGTTGATTTAATACTATTACTTTTATTAATTGATAGTTATATAACTACTATTAATATACTAAATAAGTGGTAATAATATAATAAATTCTAATATAAATAATTAATAAACTGGCCAAAGGGTGTGTAAACTATATTTCAAGATTTTGCATTATTATTTTATTAAATATAAGCTTTTTGATGTGTAGGAAACGTTTGAGGAAGTCTTCGACGGGTTCGGGGTCCGGGTCGACGGATCGGACGACGGTTGTCGAAGAGCACGGACCTAACGAGGTAACCTTGACATCACCACTGGGGACGGCAGTTATAAAACCGGACCCAGGCGGTTTCTCCACGGATATGAACAACGCAGGCGGCACCCCACAACGAAAATCGCAACAGCACGGATCCGACTCGGACATGCACCGTGGTAGTTCGCATGAGAGCATGGACAGCGAATCATCCCCCCATCAGATCACCCTGGTAAGACATCCCTATAATGTAAACCAAATCGTGCGATGTATTTACTCTTTGTTTGTCGTTTCCATCCTCCTGATTTCCCAGCAAATCCCGCAGCAGGAAATGCCAGTCCAGCATGCAGTGGATCCGCCCACCGCCATCGAAATGCCCGGCCCATCATCGACGACCACCCAGACTGTCACCGGTAAGTCAGAAACGATACATTTTCACATCTCATCCACACCTGAGAATGCAACTGGTTTATTTTCAGTTTACAATCAAATAAAATTGTTTCCATCAATATTTTTTATTTAGATTTAGAACAATTATGATATATGATTTTTAAAAATTTCACTTTCGTTAATAAACCTTTTACATTCTCAAACGATGCTGTATGTTATTATTATTGTTACTATTAGTATTATTAATGTAAGAAGTTGAATTAGTCTTGGGGAGAGTGAGAAATTGTACCTCGTGGGGCTAAGGGTCAACAGCAAAAGTGAACAGGCAATTTATTACGAGTATTATTGCGGATACCTTAACATATAATAATAATTATTATTATTACCATTATGATTTGTCTGATTATTTATTGGTTGCGTTTATTTATTCCGAGATTGTTGTGACGAGTCGAAATGTTTTTTACTTTTAATTAATTTTTGTTCTTAATTATAATTTATTATTATTATTATTTTATTCTATTTTTTGATCCTGTATACATTTGTTATTATACAAAAAGAAATTTTATCTATATATATACTTCCATACACACACATTATTATCCCAACAGAGAGAACGATGAAATTCATCACTTATTATTATTATTCTTTCGATTGATTTAACAACCATCCCAAGTAATTCGTAACTGGCGGAATTATGGATTATTTTTAGTTTATTCTTCTCAAATTTGTTAGAATCAAAAGATACACTATATATATATACCTGGCTCCTGGTACAGGCTCGGCTCAATGGTAATTTTCACATCATATCACCAATCATTCATTGTTTTTATTTTCTTCATTTAAGTGTTTCTTCACAAAAAAAACAGTACTTTTCATTTAAAATAATTCAAGCTTATATTGATAAATTTAATCACGCAAATCATTGTTTTCACATAACTTCTTAACTAAAATATTAAAAAGTTTGATCCTGTCGAAATCTTTAAATTTAATAATGTATTGTCTTCAACTTACTTCTTTCAGACTTTAGATTTTAAAGCTCAAAATGAATTTTGTAACAATTGTAATAATGCCAATGATTGTTTTCACATTACTTCTTATGACTTTATTATTTATTAAATGGATCTTGTCGAATTCTTTCTCGGATAAATCTTCATTCTATTAGATCTTAATACTTTCATTTCTTAATTAAAATGTTGTATGCACTACAAGGCTTGCTTCTATGGTTTAGTTGAAAACTGTCTGATGAAAGTACATTTTATTGGTGGGATTGCTTTCAATACGCTATGTAGTCACACATGAAAAGCTTTATTTTCTTTTACTATACTTAACCTTCTGTATTCTTCTGAAATCCTCGATAATTGTCCTAAATCATCTAATTTTTTTTTGTTTACTTTTTCTTAATATATATTTCTTTTCAATTTTGAAAGCAAAAATGTTCATTGCGGAATCATCTTTATTTAGATTTTGAAATTTTTCGTTTGTGTTTTGTCTCATGTTCACGATTGCCGTTGAGCGTAGCCTTAACTGGAGAGGCGTAAAAGAGATTGAAAGAGAGAACGAGAGGGAGAGAGAGAGAGAGTACATAAATATATATAGATACAAGATTTTTGTTTTGCGTTTGATGGGGCCTATTTCTAACCTGTGGTATTGTATACCGATTTCAGGTTACCAATGGGGTATAGTCGACCACAGCTATCCACATTTCACCCAAGCCACCCTAACAATACCCCAAGAACTACAGTACACCAACAATCCCCCACCAATAACAACTCACAATTACCATCACACTAACATATGCACGAACGGTGCGACAGCCGCCGGCTCAGCCTCAGCTGCGACGGCCTCCACGAATCATCAGATGGAGGCGCGTCCGACGCCGCCGCATGCACCTCAACCGCCTCAGCAACAGGTGCCAGCCTCGCCGCCGCAGACGGTGCAGAAGCGCAAGAGGAGCGTCAACCCGCAAGCGGACGAGAACTTCGTGCGAGCCCTCGAGGCGGTCCGGTTCGGTGGAATCGGGTTCTGCAAGGCGGCTCGAATGTACGGCGTCAACAATCGTACCTTGTGGCTAGAGTACAAGAAGCGAGGATACCCGATCAGTAGACTCAGCATCAAGAACAGAAAGCCCGAGAACAATCAGCTGCAGAGTCAGGAGAACGAAAGCCCACCACCAACGGAGTCCTCGGAAGACTCGCAGCAACAACAGCAGCAGCAGCAACAACAGCAGCAGCAGCAACAACAACAGCATCAGCAACAACAACAACAACACGCAGTTAACAATCCGATAGCTATGATCAGCGGGGCTTTCATTGACGGGCGACCCGTGGAGATATCTCCGGTGATTCAGAGGCCGCGGTACTTTGATAACGGCCTTCTGCACACGACTCCCATCAACCTGCAAGGGCTTAACTTCGATCAGATGTAAAATCGGCAGTCACCTCGCGCGACGTACGCGAGGAACTCTTCGAACGGAAAAAGACTGAGAGAGAAACTTCGTTTTGGAAAGAAGGGGGGCGACTTGTACATAGAATAAACGAGAAAGAAGCAATTTCGTGCCATATATACATAACGTTGTATATAATATAAATACATGAATATATATAGATATATATTTTATTAATAAATTGATTCGATCGATGATCTCAGATATCAATAAAACAAACAAAATTATAAATATAATTTCCAATAGTTGGAAAGCGTTTGTAACGACGAGGACGGAATAATAATATAGGCATAAATTCAATATTTAGTTACGCTCCAAGCAATTAGTGCAATTATCATTACTATACATGATTATTATTATTATTATCAATCAATTAATCTATTTTTTTTTTGTTCGTTTAGTATTTATCGTATTTATAAATTGTCTGTTTTATTTTATTTTTTAATTTTTGTATATTGTTACCCGTTTTGCATATCATTTTTATTACCTAATTGTTTAATCCACACACACACATATATATATATATATATATTTTAACTATTAATCACTTGATGCGAAATCGGTTTTAATTTATTCGTGTGCTCATAATAATAATAAGTTACAGTTAATCTTCGGTTTAATTTCAGTCTTGCAATTAACAATAATGTTATTTATTTTATTTTAATTTATGTAATTATAGAAACTGGATCTTTTACTTTTGGCGAAATCGTTATTTATTTATTTGTTTGCTTTCACAACCGAAGATTTTGTGACTAATTTTATTTTTGTTGTTCGTTTCTATAGTTACTGTACTAACTAATCGCTACTATACTATAGTAGTTGGCAGCTCAAAGCAAATACTCTAGTAACGTGTTGTTAAGTTAAAGTTAACGTCTGATTAAGCCGAAGATCCTCCTGTACGTACATACATGTTTACTCCCCGACGTAATGTTATTACGATTATATATTATATAACATATGCCTTATTTGTTTCATTCTTTTCTTTTATATATTATATATAAATATATTGAAAAAAAAAAAAACTAAAAGCATTCGGAAATTCTGTTCACAACCACCAAACCTATAAAATACATCTGCAACGAAACGATTGCTTATTGATGATGATGATGCAGAGGGATTCTTTTTGGAATTAAATTCGTTCTGTTGTTTGTTTTAATTGTAGATAGGGTGATAATAACGACGCACGCGCAATTTTCGCAATCGCAGCAGCAGCAACACCATCCGCATCAACAACAACAAGTACACCATCATCAACATCAGAACAACCAGCAGACGATGATCGTGGGTCCGAAGAGGGGTCGTTTCCTGATGCGGCAATCTAGGATCAAAAGGGATTTGGAGCAGAATCCTTCCTCGGAAACGTCTTCTGGCGGAGGAAGAGATTCGCTGACCACCCATCATTACCTTTCCGTCCCTCACGTCCGCGTCGAGCGGCAGGTATCCGATCCACTTCCGGCCATCTCACCTCCGCCCGGAAATCTACTCACAGTACCTGGAACTAACATCTTAGTCAAACAGCATTCGCATCCTCTTCTTTCGAGCCAGACGGTTAGTACATATACATATGCATTTTATTTATACTACTTCAACTAAAATTGCTTGAATAATAATAGTCCAGTCATCTTCTATCAATTTCAAACTTAATACAGAACGTTGCTTAATTGTATTCAATGTTCTTCCTGTAGTCATTTCAAAGTCAAAGTCCGCCTCCGCCCATTACGATGACCCAACTGCAAATAATACCGCAGGCGCATTTCGTGGACGTAGAACAACATCATCATCAGCCCTCGTCGAGTCCCATCCCGATGGTGATCTCGCAGGAAAACACAGCATCGACTACGGAGAGCTCCGCGCTCACCACAATCAGGATAAGATCGGACGAGCTGAAGAGGAGCGTCTCTTCGCCCTCACAGGTACCGATTCAACCATCTCGAGCACTTGTCCTTTGCCGCCTCCAACACTTCACCGTTTACCTCCGGGTACTCCAACCAGTAGTTCTCCGTATCTCTATAAACGTTGTAACCGACTGGTGTGACGAAGAATTCTTCGTCTTCCTGGCACCTCTCTCGAACCATCCTCCAAATACCAGACATGTAGTCATACGTTAAGGAAGACGCTCCAGTCTCCGAAGGTTCCGGATAATCTTCATTGATATATTCAACATCTCTAAGAGCTTTCTTCTTTTTCTCGGCCATTGCCTTAACACCATCGTCGTTCTTTTCAAAGTCTTCTTCCTCTAGCAACCAATGACCTAACTGATAAATATTTATATATATATAGTCATAAATCGAACAAAATTATAATTGAAACTCACATTCATTTCCTCGCGAAGATTTTCCGAAGTCTTCCTGAATTCATCAGTGAATCCATCCATAATTTTCTTATGGATTTCGGATCTAGACAGATGCTTTATGGCCGTCCTATTGTAGTAAATACTGTCTTTGTAAAACTCTCGCATCGGATCCGAGATTTCACTGATTTCGGAACTACCCGATTCCAACTCTAAACTTTTCACCGATTCCAGCAATTTGTTAATCTTCTCCGGTAGCTCGCTGGAAATAGGAAACTCGATGGGCTCGAGGATAATTCTGCCCGAATTCGTGCACACCGAATTGCTGCTGCTGAACGTCGCCATTCCTCATCGAAACTATTGATCAAACTTTTCCGTATTTGTAAACCGTATTTTTACTCTTTTCTTATTTTTTAGTTGAGCACCAGATCCAGCCATTGTCCTGTGGTGAGACCCGGTCCTGCGCTAGGTTGCAATTACTGCTGGAACACAGTGGATAACCACGGTCGGATACTGCGGAGGAAGACAAAGTACCATTGCCCCGAGTGCCAAACGAACCTCTGCATAGTGCCGTGTTTCCAAGAGTACCACGAAAGGCACGTCGCCCAAACAACGCTCACGACATCCGTGATGCGGATCTTCCCCAAAACCGGTTCGATCTGAAGCAAGAGGAAGATTCTCTGAATCATCGTATCATTCCTATCCACAAAACTATACCATGTATAGAGAGAAGAAAAAAAAGCAAAGAATTGTATTTTAATTTTTACGAAGGAAAAACAAAGCATAAGCTTACACATAGTAGTTAGTTAATTGATTTGATTGATCGTTGTCGTTCGAGACTAGTGATAGAGTGTAGTTTCTTTTAGCTTAAGTAAACGGAGAAGATAATTCGCGTTTCGTTTTTTTCGAGTATTTCCGAGCCTAGGCGTGTTGATTTCATCTTCGGGTCACCCATCCGAACCCTGGACTTGCGCGAAACCATATGCAAACAAACATAACAGTTAATTGTTCAGATTAATTTAATTATCTTTTTGTTGTTGTTG